TATATATATATATATAATGAGGTGTTGGATAGAATAATTGTCCAAGATTTTTGGCCTTCAAGCTAAGATATCTTAATTATGAACCCAACGTGCTTAATTATTTACCAGTCATCTGTGTGTCCAGACTAACAAAAGGAAATTATTTTATATTCAACAAATAACCAGAAATTAAGCAATCATAATATAATATATTCATTAAGAAAATAATCAAAGCTTCAAAGTCCATTCATTTAACATCTATGGTCCATGTGTTTGCTTCTTATTATCTCTCTTGTGTTGGTTTTGATCATTCATCTCTATAACAAGCTTTTCAAGTAACAGTAACCAAAGAATTTCCAAGTAATATAAACAAACACTAACTTTTTATACGATTACAAATAAATACATTATACATTTACTTTAGTGTACTCAAGTGAGTGAAGTGACTCAGCTTTTCCCACGTAGAAACAAACAAGCCTCTAAGATGCAATAATGCAAAAGATGAGAAAGAGAAAAGGAAGAGACTAATGCTATTCACCTCTTTACTCTATTATTCCCTCTTCCCCCAAAAGGTAAAAAGAAAAATGACAAAACTAGTGGCCCTCATTCTGTCTGTCTAATAAACTAAATCTTGGTACCTCTGGCACCAGAATCTTAGTTGGATTTCTCCAGCTTTGCTATCCTGGCTTTTCCACATAAAATACAAGAGCCAGGGTGGCTTCACCTTACTAGCCTAGGCATATGCAATAATACCTTACCATCCTTTTCCATAAAGGTAATTATGGACACACCCCACAAAAGTCAGTTTTGTTTATAACCATTATGTCAACTTGACCATACCATGATTCTTCACTTTCCATCAAGGAACTTTAAATTATTAGGTTAAGTTGATGTGATGCATTGATGTCCACTGTCCATATCTATGAAGGGACAAAAGTGATGCTTGATTTGTAGTTTCTACATCAACTCCAACATAACATATGATATCTACAATTAGCAATACCTCAATACATCAATAAATGCTATCCTTAATTGATAAATCAGAGAAATATACTATTCTAATATAGAATGCTCAGTGTCTTACCAATTATCATTTTGGCATAATTGAGTAGACTTCTTACACAGCAATATCTCCCATGTTCCTGATTCTTTGTTCCACATTCCTGAGATCACGAAGATGTTGTAAAATTTCTTGGATAAGATCTAACCCCTTGTCCCCTTTCCCCAAGGAGCTGATACAGTGCTTTAGAAATTCTCTATCTGCTTCTAGAGCTAGTAGTCTCTCATAAACATGATCCATCTCTACTTCTACATCAAGCTTTTTCTTCTCTAATTGAACCTTCTCATCTGAACTATTTTGCAAGGAAGTAAAATCTAACTCACTACTCATTGCCCTGTTTTCTGCTTCTGTGCCAGTTGCATCAAAGAGTGGGAGAACCCTCTTGGCTTTTGTACACATTGTTTTCCTTCCATCATGATGCTTACCATTTGATAATCCGTTCACATGACCTATGTGATCATTATGATCTTGGTAACCATTTCCATTCTCTTCACAAAGATTTTCTATTGATTTATTACCATCAAAATACTCTTCTTCATAATTCAATATAGCAATCTTTTCTTCCAGCATCTTCAGTTGTTCTAGAATTAATAACCTCTCTTCCTCAAAGTTTGCCAATGATTCCTCCAAATATATAACAGCATCTTCAGGAGTGTTCCGGTTGCTAAACTCTTGATGGCTATAAGTACCATTTTCTTCCTTTGTATCTTGACTAAAATCAATAGATAGTCCATCACTATCTCTAGCATTGCTGCATGAGGGACAAGTTTTGCTTCTTATATTACTTTCCCTTCTTGACATTATCTTTTCTCTAACCTCGTATTCATGAACCTTTTTTTGATATATTTCAAGCTCCTTTTCTAGTTCAAAATTTTCTTTTTCCCTCTTTATCATAAGTTCATTCAAAAGCTGCAAAGCTTCCCGGTCATACTCAGATTGTTCTTCCATCATTCTCTCATACTGCAAAGCTTCCATCTGCATTGCAGCTTTCTCTTCCTGAAGCCTATTTATCATTGCCATTGTTTGATTTGCGGCTACTGCAGATGCACTCCTCTCTTCTTCTAGTTCTGCATATAGAGCACTTAAAGCTTTTCTTTCAGCTTTTAGTGCTGATTTCAACTTCTCAATTGTCAACTCATCACATTCTATATCACTAATGACACTTCCTTCCAATAATTCTTCTGTTCTTGATTCTCTCCCCCCAAGCAGTTGTAGCTTTTTGTGTAGTTGATACAGATTCTCTGCAGTAGTGGGTGTGTCAGGAAATGTTTCTTCTTCCATCTTATTAAGCTCCAAACATGATGTAAATGGCTATTTACAGTTAGCATACTCATAACAATGATATTGTTTTAAATTCTGCAAATTCTTTTAAGACCTAATTAGAAATTTTAAAGTAAAAAAATAAAATAAAATGAAAGAAAACAGTACAGCACATAGATATTACAAATGTTTATGGACTAGTACTAAAAGTCAAAAGAAAGGAGAAAAGCAGTTGAGACTTACCTCTATCATCTTGGACAGTAAAAGTAGTAGTGATAGAAGATGGGACTTGTATTTGTTGACTTGAATCCTCGAGAATATCTTGATATTGAGTTGAGACTTCTGCTTCTAATTCATCACCCTGCATTTGTGTTGCAACTTCAGACACCGAAGAAAAAGAAAAATATTAGAACATTGTACGCACGACAAAAAAAATAGATAAAAAATTAGAACTGGCTAGAGTAGTAAACTTATATTGATGAATAAAAGATTGCAACCTTGAGATACAGCTGAACATAACTCCCCATATCTTTTCATGTTTGTTTCAACATTGCCATTGATACCTGTGTCAACAGTTGTTTGAGCAAATTTCACTTCTTGATACTTTTGCTCCAAACTTTCTTTTTCTACAATTAATTCTAAGCTCTTCCCTCTAATCCTTAATGGAATTGACTCAGCCCCATAGGCCTCGAATGCCTTTATACACCCTGGACCTGAAGACACTGACACAGTATCCTCAAAAGTGTGCCAATTCTCAATTACAGGTTCAGGTTCTACCCCAGAATTCATATCAAAATCCAAAATAACATCTTCATCACCACTAAGCCCATCATCCCCCACCATATACATATGTTGATTTTCACGTTCTGTGGCAAAGGAGTCTCCAAATTCAACAGGAATCAAAAAGAAATCATTACCATGAATGACAAAATCCAAATGTTTGGGTGGAATTTGCTCAGTGTTCTCACTAGTGCAAGCAACTTGATGAGTGATCACTTCACAAGATCGAACATCCTTAGGAACACTAAGACTTTCCTCTCTAATTGTTTCTTCTTGCCCTTTCCCTATGCCCAAATAGAATGTGTATTTTTCACCACACACAGTTTCTTTTGCACCATCACACACAGAACAAATATTAACATCATTTGCCCCCTTTCCTCCTCCACCTGAACCCTCATCATCATCAAAAACAATAATGTCACTTCCCTTGTTTTCGACAGTGTTCCTTTCCTCTTCAAGATGATCAAGAATAAAATCATCTCCGCCATGATCTGAGTGATGATGCCCCTCGTCAATCTCTGACTCAACCCCACTTTCAGTAATCAAATTCTGTTTCTGGGTACAATCCAAAACCCTCAAAGAAGGCTTATCTCTGATCAGGTAGAACTTGCTCACATAGTTGACACCACAGCAAGAACACCTCAAAGGCTCCACCCCATTCTCAAGTACCTTGTTATTATCATCATCAGCATCATGAATCATACCCATTTGCGGCATCCATGTCTGAGACAAGTTCACAAAATTTGGGTGACATGAAGACGAACAACCCACACACATAGTTTCGGATTCAGCCAATTTTCTATGATTCAGGCAAAAACCCAGTTTGGAAATCTCAAAAGCATGAGCTTCGCACACAAGATCCCTGCAAGAGCACTTGTTATTTTCCGGCTCTATGATGTGATCAATCCTTGTGCACCATATGCAAGGTCTTTTAAGCCCAAAATAATCCACAAACTTTATGATCACATAAGAAAAAAGGGAATTCAGAAGAAGGAGGATGATCAGAATCCATTCAAGCATGGCATAGACAAGAACCAGGGTGATTTTGTTGGTGTTTCTATGCAACATGGTTGCAAACTTGTTGGTAGCCATGGAAACCTTGTTGATATGTACAAAGAATAAAAGTTTACTCAGAAAGAAGCAAAAAGATTATCAAATTGAAACCTATAAACGGAGACAGAGAACAAGGGATTTTGAAGGAAAGAGAGTTATAAGACAAGAAGACAAAATTGTAGTGTGGGGTAGAGTGTGTAATGTGTATGGGAGTGAATTGAGCCGAAGTAGAATAGGACACAGAAAAACACACCATTATAAATTTATAATTGAACATAATCTCTATTTTATTAAACATAATCTCTATCTTATATATAAGAATGTTTTTAAGAATGTTTTTTAATAAAAGAATTTGTAAAAAAAAAATTAATTTCTTATTTAATTTAATTTTTTATCATAAATATTTTATATATTAAATATTAATAATTTTAAAAAATATCAATAATAAATTTTATTATAATATAAATTATTTATCATAAGTCTAAAATATAATTTATAAATTTAAAATACTTATATATACTAATTTTAAATATATTTAAAATTTCAAACATAATATATGTATATATATGAGGATGTTCAAATGACACTTGTAACGATGTGACGGACCATCACACTTTCTATTAAAGATCAACATTTAAATGAAAGAAACATCATGCATAAAGTAAAATGTACAGAAGGTACACAACATATACAATCCCGTACATAATTATATACATCAAATAACATACAACTACAAACATCCTTTGTATCATCAGTCGAGGACTCCAAAATATGACTTCATTGGAGGAATCACACAAAACATTTGCCATCTTGCAAGCCAACCACCTGATCCTGCCTTACTCGCATACAAAGTATGCTTATCACAATTGTAACCATAAGGAAAAGAAAGGTAAGCTTACAAAAGAAACAATGTACAACAACACAATAAAACCACAAAAGCAATGATCAACAATAGTACAACACATAACTTAACAACTTATTCAACATTTGACAACTTTGTTATAATCGACAACTCAAATAAAATATTAGCATTTAATGCGTCATCACGCATATCAACTAATGGAGATCTCTTACAATTGAAGTTGAGAAGTTTAAGTAGCTTATCCCTACCGAATCACAGTATTAAATCTATGTCAACCAGGTCAGGTATAGTACAACATTAGGCCTCATAAGACAGCCAGGTATAGACAACTTAGTTTGATTTCCCATGCTTTGTCACTTAAACAAGAAAGTATGATACTATGTCAAGGTAGATTAGTTTGGATATGATCCTATCACGACATTAGCTAGCTTAACTAAGCCACCTGTGGGATTAGCCCACTAACTACCCTCCATATACCACAACCCTCCAATATTATATTAGGGATTTTAACCCCAACTTTGTACTTTACTCAGTTGGTCACTTATAATCAGTATAGCTCGACCTTGCCTTTATATTGTGGTTACTTTATACACATATGTTTCGACCTTGCCCATATATGAATACCACATAGAACCTAAAGGAGACAACTGAAAATAACGTACCCATTCAAAAACTAACTTAACAAAGAGTTCACCACAACGTATATCCTCACAATGGGATATTAAAGTTCAAAAACATCTTTAACTTTGTTTCTATATATATGAACATAGACATGTATCACAACCACATGTTTAACAACCGAATAGCTTAACAAATCATCATCCTACATCGTTACAGCCTAACACATTTATCTTCCATCTTAATTACACAATAATATAACAACATATCAACTTACTTCTTTACAACTTAATCATCTTTCAACATATATACTAACTCTCAACTTGACGATAATAATAAACACATCGTGTACACACTAACTTTACAGCTTTCAACTTTAACAACAGTGAGCATCCATCTTACAATTATAAAACAACTTAAAACATCAAAACAATATAACAACAGCATCAAAGTAGCTCTACAACTTTAAGCATACTTCTTGACAATCATTTGAAAACAACCAAACAAATTAACAATTGAATAACTTAAAGCCCAACTTTCAACGACTAATACAACTTATAACATGTATAATAATCTCAACATGACAACTTCAATCACAATGTAAACAACTCCAAACATTCTCATAAATCATCATCCATATCAACAATTCATCATATAATAACTTAGGACATCATATATTACCATTTTCTATAAGGGAATTAACACATCATTTTCAACATGTAATCATCAATTAGCATACAACGAAAACTTCCATATAACACAACATAATTGGAGTTCCATTAATCCAATCAAATTCACCTTTATTTCATACGAAAGATAAAAAAGTTATCTACAATTCTCTTGAAGACTTTAGGTTCTAACTTCATCATCTAGCCTGTTGAAAATCACAAAAACCGCAACAATTTGCTAAAATGCTAATATCTTGAATTTTATTCACTAGAAAGGTCATAACTAGAGTTCTAGACCTCTTTTTCAGGTGATTTTAAAGCCATTAGAAAGATAACATCTAGGGCTACAACTTTTATGTAAACAACAAAATCTAATTCAGAAAGCACCAAACTGCTCAGCCATTTCAAAATTACTTAGCGAATTCCTTCCAAAAATACACCTGATTCTAATATGCAAAATCTCTCAATCATTTCTTTCTAGAGACCATCTCTGTTTTTCACGATTTTGGGATCTTTTAACTGCTCCATTTCGTCCCAAGCTTCCTACAAGTTTCAATCTCAAATCTAAACCAAAGAAACTCATATAAATAACTAGAGTACATCAAAACAATAGAAGATCAGCACAAAATATGGCATGCAACCATAGATTTCAAACATTCATCAAGCTACCCCTTATAGGTGTTACAAGAACCAAACCAACTTCCCCCAAAACCATGAATCAACCATCATAATGTCAGCAACACAACTTAGAAATTAAGGGTTTGGAAGAATCACCAAATCAACTTCACAAGACACAACCAAGGCAAGCTTCCCTTACTTTCTCGGAGAATCAACCAAAAAAGGAAAAGAAAAGGAACTCCATACGACTTTGACCGCTTGAGCTCCAACCTCTTAATTGCGAATCTTCACTCTACAACTTGAATCAATTGAGAAAGGAAGAAAAGGAAAGATTTCTCATAAGGAAGAAGAAGAAGGAGAGGTTTTGAGCTCTCTGACTTCACTCTAGAGTTTTAGGAAATATGAATTATGAACATCCTTTTGAAAAAACTTTCTTATGTACCTTTCCTGAGCTGACTCCAGCTATCTCTAGTCTAACATCCAAAGATCAATGTGCTCCCAAGGTCTCTCAACCCCAAAGCTCTTAGTAGCAACTATCAAATCAAACAACAAAGTTATGAGATGATAGTATTACAACACCAATGTAACTTTTACCAACTATTACAATACTCAATAACTTTCAATTAAATGTGAATTTTTCTAAATTTACCGTTAAATTGAAAGTTCCTTACTTGTATATCATATACACAAAATTTTATATTAATCCTAGATGATTTAATATCTCATTTTTATAGAACAAAATTAACGTAATATATACATTTTAAAATATACTATACATTTTATTACCTTCAAATTGTTATTCAATTTTAATAAAATTTAATATACACATACAAGGTGATATGAGATTATAATTCAATGGTTGGATTGACAAAATTCACATTTAATTGAAAGTTATTGAATAGTATAATAGTTGATAAAAATTATATCGGTGTCGTTTGAACTCTCCTCTTTATATATATATATATATATATATAATTTAATATAAAATTTAATTATATATAACAAACATATGTGTGTGCAATTCACACACTAAAATACTAGTAATGATTTTATTTAGAGAAAGGATGCATGAATAGAAATATGCTTCGAGTCAAAGATTTTTCTTTTCAAGCATCATCTTTTTTCCAATACTAAGATTTTAGCCAATATATTTTACAGACTAAATTTTATTATATATAAATAAACTTTAGAATAAATTATATATATAAATAAATAATATATTTAAATATACAAAGTATATTTAAATTTTTGAATAAATAGATATTTTTAAACATATAAATTATATTTTTAATTTAAGATAAATAACTTATATTGTGACAAAAGATTATTTTTAATTATTGATAATTTATTTTAAATATAAAATTTTAATTCCTAAATAAATATGATAAATAAAAAAAATTGAATTAGATAGTAAATACGGGATGACACTCCTTTAACTACTGGACATAGAATTAATGGCATGTTGAGATCCTAATTAAGTATGACTATTTACTTAATGGTTAGTTGAAAGTCAGTAATGCTTAATTTGACCAAGAACTTGTCAAATCAAGGGCCAATAAAGGCCTATTAAAGGAATTTTATCTCTTGGTGTCAAGAGATTTCCTTAAATAAGTATGTTCACTAAAATAGATTCACGTTTAATATATGAGTTATGATTGTATTTATATTAATTTATTTTTTAATTTCACAATATCAGTCTTGTTTATCAGCAAAGAAGTGTGTTGTATATTTTTTCTCTATTTCTGAAATTTTTATTTTATTTTTATGAAAATAAAAGAATAAGGACAATTTTTAGTAAGTTATATAATAATAAAAAAAATATTTTATATATTTGGTTTCCAAGTATTGCAATTGTGTGATTTTTATTTCAATAAACTTTGTCAATAACAATTAAAAATTGGTCCATGGAACAATTGCTAGAGAGACTCAAGTCAATAAAACTGTCTCCTAAAATTTTGGATCCATAACAGATCCGACATCTAATCCATTTACTAGTTGCAAGGTAACCATCTTATCATTTTTAATATCCATATTGTTATTATTAAATATTAGTGAGATCAAGACATTTTGTGTCTATAAATTTATTTAAATAAAAAAATATTTTTTTTGAAAATAAAAATAGAAACTCTCTTGGTCTCACCTTGGAATCGAATCTCTTTTTGCAGTGTTGCTTGCATGCCTCGACGATGATGAGTGCGCGGTCTCAAACCTCTTCTATAATATCTAGGTTTGTACGAAGCTCATTCTCGTTGATATGGTCAATGAAGTGAACTCGGCGAAAAGAGGGTTCTCCGATCTCTACTGGGAGCATTGCGTCTGATCCATACACTAAGCGAAACGGGGTCTCCTGTGTGGTTGACTAGGGTGTACACCTGTATGCCCAAAGTACTTTAAGTAACTGTTTGGCCCATGCGGTTTTAGCCTCCCCAAGTTGTTTCTTTA